TTCTGAGCCGAGGTGAAAGGCGAAGCTGGCCGAGCGGCCGGCCATTGGCCGGTCGACAGCCTGCTTCTGACAGCTGGGCGGAGCCAGCCATGATCTTACGGCCGGCTCCTGCCACTTGCAGAGAGATCAGCGTCCCTAGTTACCAGGTAACCAGGGACACTGATCTCCAGACAGCCCAACTCTCCCGGGCGAGCCGAGAGTCTCCCGGTATTAGATAGCGGCTTCCGGCCGCCCGGGAGAGAAACACTTTCTCCCAGAAAGGTTTACTCTGCTCGATCGAGCAGAGTAAACCTTTCCCTGCTTTCTTTTTTTTATTTTTTATTCTGACATGGAGCAGTTGGCTGCCGTCAGAATACAAAACAAAAATGTCACCATAGGAATGCATAGCTAGATTCCTATTGGCTATTTCAATTTGCAATAGCCAATAGCAAACTAGCTATTGCACCCGCCCACTGCGGTTGTCAATCAGCTGAGGGGACCTGCAGTTCTCCATCAGGTCCCCTCTAGTGATTGACAGCAGCAGAGGGCGGTGCAATAGCTAGTTTGCTATTGGCTATTGCAAATTGAAATAGCCAATAGGAATCTAGCTATGCATTCCTATGGTGAAATTTTTTGTTTTTTTTTTACGGCAGCAGAACCGCTCGGCCAATAGAAAACAGTTGGGTGGAGCTAGCTGTCACTGCTAGCTCCGCCCAATCGTTTTCGATTTAATTTTTTACTACTTGTTTAACTGTGTTTCTATTCTGTTCGGTACCACAGAGGTACCGAGCAGAACAGCCGAGGCGGATGCCGCTCGGTGGCATTCGGCTATTCACTCACTGCTGTTCGGCATCTATGAGAATATGCCGAACAGCAGCGAGTAGCCTGCTGGAGGTTCGGCGTAGCCGATCCAGATGTTGGATCGGCTGAGTCGAACTCCTTCTGCACTTCGGGACCCGAAGCCACACGAAGCCACCCGATGTACGGCTGATTTCAGCCGATATACAGCTGAAATCAGCCGTACAAACCTGAAGTGAATAGCCGAACAGCGTTCGGCTCACTTC